ACTAGGACCTGTGTAATGTGTGTCAGCATGGTGGCTTGTAGTCTCTATTGGGAAAGCATGTGACAGGGTGACAACGCAGAAACACAATTAAGAGACAGGGACAGAGCGTTGTCACCTTATAACCAGAAGTGCCTGAACTAGGACCTGTGTAATGTGTGTCAGCACGGTGGCTTGTAGTCTCTATTGGGAAAGCATGTGACAGGGTGACAACACAGGAGCACAATTTAGAGACAGGGACAGAGTGTTGTCACCCTGTAACAAGAAGTGCCTGAACAAGGACCTGTGTAATGGGTGTCAGCACGGTAGCTTGTAGTCTCTATTAGGAAATTATATGACGGGGTGACTACACAAAATCACAATTTAGAGGCAGGACCAGAGCGTTGTCACCCTAAAAGTGTCTGAACAAGGACCTGTGTAATGTTTGTCAACATGGTGACTTGTAGTCTGCATTAGCAAAACATGTGACAGGGTGACAACACGGGAGCCATTTAGACACAGGGACAGCATTGTCACTGTATAACAGGCTGTGCCTGAACAAGGACCTGTATCAGGAAACCATATGACAGGATGATAACACAAGAGCACAATTAAGAGACGGGGGCAAAGCGTCACCCTATACCAGGAATTGCCTGAACAAGGACCCGTGTAATGTTTGTCAGCATGGTGGCTTGTAGTCTCTATAAGGAAAGCATGGGACAAAATGACAACACAGGAGCACAATTTAGAGACAGCAGCAGAGCGTTGTCACCCTATAACAGGAAGTGCCTGAACAAGAACCTTAATGGCAGGATCACCAGGGATTTTTTTTTTTTTCAAAGTAGCAGATTTTGGGAATTACATTGACCTGTTTCAGCTTTTCTAAGATTTTGGGTTTACATAAAATTTAAAGTGATGCATTGCCAAAGAAATGAGAGCAGCCATGACCTAGATATACTACTGTTATGCATGGAGAGTGTGCGAGGTCCATCATTTGCACTCTTTTGTCCTTGGAAGACATGACATAACATTTGGAGAAGATAAATCTTTTGGATGATACCAGTAAAATAAATCAATTATGGGTAAGTAGTAGATGAGTCACATTTTCAAGCACAGGTTTCTATTAATAGAGCAGACATGAGGAATATAGATTACAATCTCAACGTCCACCAAACACGGACCAATCAGAGCTCACCCCTGATTGACGTCACAAGGACGGAGTCATCGAGCAGATCCCCACACCACAACAGTTCACATGCTGCATATCCGTACTCTGACTTCCATTCTGGTGGATTAAAATGATTAACTTACTTTAAATGTTAGTCTCTTCTCTACGCTTTTTTTGATCCTCTTTCCCCTCTTTTACCATTTTCATGGTTAGATGTTCAAAGATCCTCAACATTCAGCAGATGGGCGGAGCTGGGAACTCAGGGCTTCATTTTTCATGTGTTTTTTTAAGGACATACAAGTCCTTTTTTTTTAAATATAGGTAGCCAATGGGCAAACATGATAGAAAAAAAAAATTAAAAAGTGAACACACACACACACACATATATATATATATATATATATATATACATACAGTATATATATATATTTTATTTTTTTTCTATCTTTCTCTCTCTCTGTGTATATATATATATATATATATATATATATACACATATACATACACTATATTGCCCCAAGTATTGGTCAGCTGGCCTTTCCACGAACACGAACTGTAATGGCCCCCCAGTCTTAGTCCGTAGGGTTCAATATTGAGTTGGCCCCGCCCTTTCCACACACATGACCTTTAATGGCCCCCCAGTCTTAGTCCATAGGGTTCAATATTGAGCTGGCCCCGCCCTTTCCCCCCACATGACCTTTAATGGCCTCCCAGTCTTAGTCCGTAGGGTTCAATATTGAGTTGGCCCCGCCCTTTGCGGCTATAACAGCTTCAACTCTTCTGGGAAGGCTGTCCACAAGGTTTAGGAGGGTGTCTATGGGAAGGTTGGACCATTCTTCCAGAAGCACATTTGTCAGGTCAGGCACTGATGTCGGGGGAGGAGGCCTGGCTCGCAGTCTCCGCTCTAATTCCTCCCAAAGGTGCTCTATGGGGTTGAGGTCAGGACTCTGTGCAGGCCAGTCAAGTTCCTCCACCCCAAACTGGCTCCTCCATGTCTTTATGGACCTTGCTTTGTGCACTGGTGGGCAGTCATGTTGGAACAGGAAGGGGCCATCCCCAAACTCTTCCCACAAAGTTGGGAGCATGAAATTGTCCAAAATACCTTGGTAAGCTGACACCTTAAATGTTCATTTCACTGGAACTAGGGGGCCAAGCCCAACCCCTGAAAAACAACCCCACACCATAATCCCCCTTCCACCAAGCTTTACACTTGGCACAATGCATAGGCAAGTACCGTTCTCCTGGCAACCACCAAACCCAGACATGTCCATCAGATTTCCAGACAGAGAAGCGTGGTTGGTCACTCCAGAGAACACGTTTCCACTGCTCTAGAGTCCAGTGGCGGCTTTCTTTACACCACGGCATCCGACGCTTTGCATTGCACTTGGTGATGTAAGGCTTGGATGCAGCTGCTCGGACATGGAAACCCATTCCATGAAGCTCTCTACGCACTGTTGTTGGGCTCATCTGAAGGCCACACCAAGTTTGGAGGTCTTTAGCTATTGACTCTGCAGACAGTTGGTGACTTCTGCGCACTGTGCTCTTCAGCATGCGCTGACCCCGCTCTGTCATGTGACATGGCCTACCACTTGGTGGCTGAGTTGCTGTTGTTCCCAGTTGCTTCCACTTTGTTATAATCCCACTAACAGTTGACCGTGGAATATTTAATAGCCAGGAAATGTCATGGATGGATTTATTGCCCAGGTGGCCACCTATCACGGGACCACGCTTGGAGTCACTGAGCTCCTGAGAGCGACTCATTCTTTCACAAATATCAGTCTTTTTTAGTTTGTTTAGCAAAAATTAAAACACCCGGTGGTGATTAAATACCACCAAAAGAAAGCTCTATCTGTCTCAAAAAAATGATAAACATTTTGTTTGGGTGCAGTGCTGCATGACCGCGCAATTGTCATTCAAAAGTGCAACAGCGCTGAAAGCTAAAAATTGGCCTGGGCAGGAAAGAGGTATAAGTGCCGGGTAGGCAAGTGATTAAATCATGTATTTCTTTCTCTGTACACAATGAATACACAAAGCAGGAGATACACTGACAGCTGGAGGCTGGTAGAAGTTCGTCTATCTTGACCAGTTGATCGGTATGATTGGCTACCATTGTGATCAGGTGATTAGGTTCCCAATAGGCATTTGACATGGTGGTGAGCCCTCAGTGAGAATGCTGGGAGCACTCACATGTGTGTGCTCCTAGATGTCAAAAGGAACATACATTCTCTCTCATGACAGCTGAAGGCTAGAAGAAGTTAGTTTGCCAAGATCAGTTGGTTGGTATGATTGGCCACCATGGTGATCAGATGATTAAGAACCACGCTGATTGGTTCCCACAGTTAGTTGAGATAGCTCTCACTGACGGTGTAGTCTCACACCTAGGAGCGCTCAGCTGCTCATGCTCCTAGCTGTCAAAAGGAACAACCAACGTAAGGGACTATTGTATCCCACTGACACCAACGATAGGGACTATTGTATGCCGCTGACACCAGCTATAGGGACTATTGTATCCCACTGACTTCAACAATAGGGTCTAACATGAAAGCTGGAGGAGGCTAGTTTCAGAAACTGCACTGGTCTGTTCCCAATAGTTAGTTGAGATGGGGAGCTCTCACTGACAATGTAGTCTCACAGCTAGGAGCTCTCAGCTGCGCGTGCTCCTACCTGTCGAAAGGAACAACCAACGATAGGGACTATTGTATCCCACTGACACCAACGATAGAGACTATTGTATCTCACTGACACCAATGATAGAGACTATTGTATCCCACTGACACCAATGATAGAGACTATTGTATCCCACTGACACCAACGATAGGGACTAACATGAAAGCTGCAGGAGGCTAGTTTCAGAAACTGCACTGGTCTATTCCCAATAGTTAGTTGAGATGGTGAGCTGTCAGTGACAGTACAGCCTCACAGCTAAGAGCACTCATCTGTGCACTCACCTAGTTGTCAAAAGGAACATAGATTACCATGACAGCTAAAGGTTGGAGGTGGTTAGTGTACCAATATCAGTTGTTTGGCATGATGGAATTCCATGGTGATCAAATGATTAGGAACCGCGCTAGTTGGTTCCTAATAGTTACTTGAGATGGTGAGCTGTCAGTGACAGCTCAGTGTCGCAGCTAGAAGCACTCACATGTACACGCTCCCAGCTGTCAAAAGGAACATAGATTGACATGACAGCTGAACGCTGGAAAAAATTAGTTTACCAAGATCAGATGATTAGCGTGATTGAAGATCATGGTGATCAGGTGCTTAAGAACCACACTGCTTGGTTCCCAATAGTTAGATTCTAAGGTGAGCTGTCAGTGACAGCTCAGTGTCACAGCTAGAAGCACTCACATGTGCACACTCCCAGCTGTAAAAAGGAATATAGATTAACATGACAGCTGAAGGCTGGAAAAGGTTAGTTTACCAAGATCAGATGATTAGCATGATTGGCTATCATGGTGATCAGGTCACTAAGAACCACACCGCTGGGTTCCCAATAGTTGGATTTTATGGTGAGCTGTCAGTGACCGTGCACTCTCGCGGCTAGGAGCGCTCACATAGAACCTAGATTAACGTGACAGCTGTAGGCTGGAAGAGATTCATTTAAGATCAGACGAATGATATTATTGGCTATCTTGGTGATCAGATGATTAAGAACCACACTGATTGGTTCCCAATAGTTGGTTGAGAGGGTGAGCTGTCAGCCAAAGTGCAGCCGCACAGCTAGGAGCGCTCACATGTGCACGATCCTAGCTGTCAAAAGAAACATAGGTTGATATTCTCTCAGCGTGTAAACAGCAAAAACAATTGAACACAACAGTGTACACTTCTATAGTGAAAAAGCATATATACTTTTACCCAGGGGCGGACTGACCATTTGGAAACCGGGGCCCGGGGTCAGTAGGGGGCCCCATGAGATGCCCCTGGTACCTTTTTCATAGGCTTTTTTGAGTTTGGGCAAGGACATAGGGGCCCCATGATCCCCTATTGCCCGGGGGCCCCATGAGTTGTTAGTCCGCCCCTGATCCTCACCATGGCTGATTTCACTGGCAGTCTTCTCTCCCTGGCGCCGGAATCTTCAGTGTGGGCACCCCGCTGTGACAGCTTGTGGCTTCACAGCTGGGTGCCCACTGCGCATGTGCGAGAAGGGCTGCGCTTTGTGAATGGCCTCGTAGTCTTCTGAGACCTGTCACGTGTCCCAGAAGACTACAGGGAGAGAGGCAGGGAGTTTGGGCAAGCACACAGGGGCCCCATGATACCCTATTGCCCAGGGGCCCCATGAGTTGTCAGTCCGCCCCTGCTCTTACCAGAGCAAAAATAAAAAACGCCTTATTCATAGAGTAGGAATCATCAGCACACTTCCACTCCTTTCCTCCACTCCTGAAGTATACCTCTTAGGATGTTATCCACCATATCCTCCTGAGCATCCTCGTGATTTAAAAGGATATTTCCCAAGACTCCAGAGTGCTCATGTAATAAATGTATGGATAGAATATAGTGTAATTCCATTTTTCATATAAAATTATTAATTTTATTTTACCTGCTTACATTAAAAGGTAGAATAAACGCATATTCCCACGCCCAAAAACCTCCCAGGGTTGACGAGCAGCTTCCTCTATGCTTGACATGCGGTTTTACCAGCTTCCAAAATGGCCAACACACCACTTCCAGTTCCTTTCCTGTAAGTCCGACGTCACTTCCCTTGACGCGTTTCGTCACATCACAGGACTTAATCATAAGGGGTGTACACGTCGGACAGACCAGCCGCACTTTATATCTCTCTTCTCCATAGCTTTGAAGCTCCGGCCGCCATATTGGGGAAGGGAAAACAATGCCCATACTTTGTCCACTACAGGAACAAACTACATACATATATACTAATGCGAAAAAAAAACTATCCTTATTCCTATTAATTATTATTATTGAGCAGCAGGGGGGAAACATATGGTGGAAACAGAAACAACACCTCCTGCGCTCTAGGACTCAGAATAGAGGTGGAAAGATGGAAGGGAACCTTGACAAAGTTGGAGAAATTGTGACCACCAATGCATGGAAGGTTGAGCAGCTCTAGAACAAGGCTGGGGAAGCCCGACCGATACTGTAAAGCAGGGGAGTCAAACTGGCGGCCCCTCCAGCTGTTGCCAAACTACAAGTCCCATCATGCCTCCTTTTGGGAGTCATGCTTGTAACTCTCAATCTTGCAATGCCTCATGGGACTTGTAGTTGGGCAACAGCTGGAGGGCCGCCAGTTTGACACCCATGTTCTATACCATGGATGTCAAACTGGCGGCCCTCCAGCTGTTGAGAAACTACAAGTCCCATGATACCTCTGCCTTTGGGAGTCATGTTTGTAACTGTCTTGCAATGCCTCGTGGGACTTATAGTTGAGCAACAGCTGGAGGGCCACCAGAGGGCCACCCATGCTGTAAAGTGAAACAAAAAGAGAGCGCACCAACCTTGCGCATTACCTTAGTAAAACTGTGATTTTATTGAACAAAGAATAATACTCACAAACAAAGAAGTACAACAAGCATTAAAGGTCCTCAAAGGAACTTGGGAGAGTAGAACTAGTGCGAGTCACATCACAAGGGTAGACTCTCAAAGTGAGGCCGACACGTTTCGAAGGGGGTCCCTTCTTCATCAGAGCTTCATCATATGGTGCACAGCGAAGGGGATCAGCATGGCGGGGGGTGGGGGCCAATTACTGGGACCGATCCCCTGTATGGCTCTCTCTGCAGTTAGCAGGAGGGACAGGAGAAAAAGCCAGCTTTCTGCTGCTGCTGCTGCAGAGAGAGCCATACAGGAGATCGGTCCCAGTAATTGCCCCCCTCCATCATGCTGAACTATCTCCTTACCTACATCTGATTCACCCAGCTGCCTGGGCCCCCCTGCTGGCCTGGGCCCCATACAGGAGGACTGGTGGTACCCTCTTATCCCCAGCCCTGCATATGAGCCATGAGGATAGCAACTAAAATGTATCCTTTTCCTTCCCTCTCGGCCCTTTTCGGAGATGTGGCCAATATTATTATTATAGATAATACTACACACCAGGAAGGCCAGTTGTTTCACAATATTGTTGTGCCATAAATCTAAGCCGCAGTGTGTTTTGACAATACCTCCAGGAGGTGACAGCCCAGAATTGTTCTGTTTTTACAAAACAAGGGCTATAACACACAAAAAAAGCTGGACTCAGACAATACTGAAATACATACTGCATATGGGAGCTGTTCTACCTGGCTTGTTTGTAACTCTGTTCAGCCGGTTTCGTGATTTACAAAGCCCTACCAAACAGCCCAGCCAGGTCGGTGACCTGACTTTTTCCGGCTGCAGATATTCAATACAGCTTGGTCACCTCCCAGCTCAGACTGTGATTAGATAGTGAAGGAGATGGATGGGCTCTTTGCTTTCTCCTCCTGTCAGCATCCATGTTAGCAGATGTGCTTGCCTCTGCCGTTTAGGACTTAGGTGACCAAATTGGCAGGCACCCTACTGACCATGCCCACTTGGGGGTGTGGCAGGAGCAGATCAGGGGGTGGAGATTTTAGCATCATGTTCTGGGTGTGTCCAAATTGTGCTAACAGTGGGAGGAGCTTAAATGGGTGTGGTTTAAAAAACATGTGAGCCTAGTTTGCCCTGGGTCAGGAGTACAGGGCCAGATGTGCACTGCAGGTCACCATCACAAGCAAGGGCAAGGTGACAGGTGATCCATATTCTTACAACAAAGTCTGCACTGCAATGTCTATGAGGGTACATTTCCCGAACAGTCTCTACTCCATATGTATTAATGACACCATGACACCAACAGGACAAAGGGAAACCTGCACCTGCCTACACTCCCCCCACAGATGCCGTCCTCGACATAAGTTTACACAGGAAGAACACGTGGTATAACATATGGGGAGCAAAAGCTGAGAGGGGAGGGACTTGCAAGACCACGTAATATCGGCATGTGACATCATCAGTAACCCCAAACGCAGCCGGGGGCACACACACCCCTAACCTCCCCCCTCCTTCTCCAGATCAATCACAGAAAACTTAATAAGATGCATTAAACCACAGCCTGGGGCGCCTTTATTGAAGCCGGAAAGAAGTCATGGACACATTCTTAACCGGGGACTTTTTTTTTCCCCAAGGACAGACATCTAAAATCAGGGACTGTCCCCAAAAATCGGGACATCTGGTCACGCTATCCTAGACTATGCCCTGCAGTAGAAGGGTTAACAAGAGTGTGATTCCAAGTCAAACTCAGGTGCTTGTATTTCAAAAATACATTGATTTGGTATTTTTCTGTTTATTAATACAATACGGCAGGCCTTGAAGTGTGTGTGTGTTTTTATCCTCCTGGGGTGACGCTTTTAGGTTGGAGATTTTGTAGTCAGTTCACAAAAGGTCATAATGAAATTTAATAGAAAATATCAATTTTCACCTTCCCGTCTAAATATAAAAAGCTGCGCAGGTTATTTCTGGTCTCATTTTTCCGTAAATTAGCCAAGGTCTAAATAACCCGGCAATGCCTATTGTGTACAAAGTTTTCTACAATTTTTGAAAGCTATTTTTTTTTTTGCTCAAAAATGTTTCCAGTTAAAGCACCTTCATTGAAAGATGAACTCAGGGGCGGACTGACCATTTGAGAACTAGGGTCAGTAGGGGGCCCCGTGAAATGCCCTGGTACCTTTTTATAGGCTTCTTTGGGTGTGCTTTGAGCGTGGGCAAGGACACAGAGGCCCCATGATCCCCTATTGCCCGGGGACCCCATGAGTTGTCAGTCCGCCCCTGGCTGAACTCCAGGCAGATCTAAAAGACAAATGAATGCAGCTCTGTATTCATTAATGCCCCCTCCCGGCAGGACTGTAATGCCCGTGAGGTGGTGTGGTTCTGTATGTGGCCGCTGTGATTGGCTCCTGATCAAAAGTTGTCAACGACAGCTCTGTCAGTGTGATGGGAGTACACGGTGAGCGCGCTTTCAGCCCACAACCTCAGGCCAATTTGGGGACATATCTACGTTGGCTGGCTTTTCTTCTCCCGCATACACAGTATGCATTACATGGTCAGCAAGGGGTTGATAAATCATTAAATACAATATTTAATGCAAGCAGTGTACCTGAATTTGACGTAGTATCAGCCGGTCATTTGATCCAGCAGCTCTGTCAATGGTTGCCGGTATGTCACCCATAGGCTGCCATGGCCCAGCCGTTGTCTGTGCTCTCTCCTCTTTTATGCAGCAGCTGCTCACTGATATAGGGATGCATATAGATTGCATGAAGGTAAAAAACCTTGAGTCTTTACAGCCACTTTACCCTAGGTTCACACCTAGGCATTTTCTGCAGCATTTTGCAGAAACGCACTACAGTCCATTTAACATGATTTCCTATGGGACATGTTCACATCTGTCCATTTCCATTTTTGAATAAGGATCAGGGACACAAGAAGTTGTGTTTTTGGTTTTGTAGACTTCAATGGAAATGCTGCAGAAAAGCATGTATTGTGTTTTGTGGTGCATTTTTTTTGTATTTTTACAGTTTTTTTTGATGCATTTTGCATTTCAAATCTGCTGAGCAACAAGAAAAGTTTTTAAAAATGTAAAATGCATATAAAACGCAGCAAAAATGTGTAAAAAATGCAAGTGCAAAAACGCAATGCAGAACTGCTCAAACAGCATGCATAGGTGTGACCCCAGCCTTAAGTTTAAGGGTTGGGTTCAAGAGTCAGGGATTAGGGTTAAGGTTAGGTTTTAGGGAGTTGGGATTTAGGAGGTTAGGCTATAGGGCTTAGGTTTGAGAAACTCACATTTTAGGCTTGCACCTTAAAAAAAATGAATAAAAGTCAGCAGCTACAAAAACCTGCAGCTGCTGACTTTTAAAATACAGACACTTACCTGTCCCTCGGTCCAGCAGTATCCTCACCAGGGGCGGGCTGACCATTTGGAAACTCGGCACTGCCCGAGGGCCCGGGGTCAGTAGGGGGCCCCATGAGATGCCCCTGGTACCTTTTTCATAGGCTTTTTTGAGTTTGGGCAAGGACATAGGGGCCCCATGATCCCCTATTGCCCGGGGGCCCCATGAGTTGTTAGTCCGCCCCTGATCCTCACCATGGCTGATTTCACTGGCAGTCTTCTCTCCCTGGCGCCGGCATCTTCAGTGTGGGCACCCCGCTGTGACAGCTTGTGGCTTCACAGCTGGGTGCCCACTGCGCATGTGCGAGAAGGGCTGCGCTTTGTGAATGGCCTCGTAGTCTTCTGAGACCTGTCACGTGTCCCAGAAGACTACAGGGAGAGAGGCAGGGAGGACAACTTCCGCTTCCGATCGCCTAGGCGATCGCAGCAGAAGTGAGGGCGGGTACCTGTCAAATTCGGGTACCCACTGCCCAAGGTGCCAATCCTTAATGGGGAGCGGGGGACAAAGGCTTAAAGCAGAATCAGAACTTCCCCTTTTTGGGTGGAGCTCTGCTTTAAGAGTAGGTGTTTATTATGGGTTAAGGTTAGGTTTTACGGAGTTGGGATTTAGGAGGTTAGGCTATAGGGGTTAGGTTTGAGAAACTCCCATTTTAGGCTTACGATTAGGTGTTTATTATGGGTTGAGGCTAGGTTTTAGGGAGTTGGGATTTAGGAGGTTAGGCTATAGAGGTTAGGTTTGAGAAACTACCATTTTAGGCTTACGATTAGGTGTTTATTATGGGTTGAGGTTAGGTTTTAGGGAGTTGGGATTTAGGAGGTTAGGCTATAGAGGTTAGGTTTGAGAAACTACCATTTTAGGCTTACGATTAGGTGTTTATTATGGGTTGAGGTTAGGTTTTAGGGAGTTGGGATTTAGGAGGTTAGGCTATAGAGGTTAGGTTTGAGAAACTCCCATGTTAGGCTTACGATTAGGTGTTTATTATGGGTTGAGGTCAGGGTCGTATTAAATAGTAAGGTTTAATATATTTGGCCAGCAATGGCAGCCTCTGTAGTTCCATGAAAGGTGCGCTACTACCACCTACCCCATTACCGCCAATACCATCGATCCAGCCTGTGCTGGGATTCCAGTACCAATAACAACTACTGTCATTTGTTCCTGGAGGTGGCAATTTTTTTTTCTTTTTCAATCGCTCTCCATTTTAAAGGATTTTTTTGACATCTACCAATCTGCCACCATCATTTATTTTGGATCTCAAAATCACAATCTACAGTTCCTGGAGTTTGGAGGAAAACCGAGTGAGACAATCAGCGAACATAGACAGATTGCAGTGATGAGACGCCGTCTCCTGCTTTGATGTCACTTAAACACACACATTACACATGGATACACATTTAATCACACGAGAGTTACAATGTAAGCGATCGTCGCGTGTCATCACCATCAAACAGGCACCTGCTTCTTGACCCGTCGCTATGTACATAGGTCAATGTTGATCTTTTTTTTTTTTCTGCTTACGTTCCAGAAATCCAATATAATTTAACAGTTCTAAGCCAACACAGAAAGAGATTTAATGGCCTGTTCTGTAAGAGAGCTTTCCGGCCTCCAATGCGGCACCTAAAGAGCTTTCTATCATGTTTTCATGGATAGAATAATCCTTCTGGTCTGTCTTTGAAATCCTACAAGTAGCATCTGTTGTTTCCCATAGGTGTACTGGATGTACAGCACACGTACAAGTGGCTTGATGCATGCAGCTGCAAGCAAAACATACCCTCTGTCTCTAAACTGAAGAGTAAAACACGAGACAAACCTACAAAACACTTAAAACGCAGCACACGTGCATGTGCTAATTAAAAGTAAAATTGTGCTTCAAATATCGTATTAAAAAAATCATGCTTTGTAAAGTACAAAAACATAAATGAAGCCTATAATCCAGGGGTTAATTTACTGTCCTTCAGGCATTGAGCGGGACCAGACTGTGACCAGTGGGAGTAAAAAATGTCCATGTGTAGGAGCAAACAATACTTCATCATTGGTGTCAGTGGGAAGAATAGTGCCCCATCACTGATGTCAGTGGGAGGAATTATGCCCCATTGTTGGTGTCAATAGGAGGAATAGTACTCCATTGCTGGAGTCAGTGCGAGGAATAGAACCCCATTGCTGGTGTCAGTGGGAGGAATAGTGCCCCATCATTGGTGTCAGTGGGAGGAATAGTGTCCCATCATTGGTGTCAGTGGGAGGAATTATCCCCAATTGTAGGTGTTAGAGGGAGGAATAGTGCCCCATCACTGGTGTCAGTGGGAGGAATTATGCCCCATTATTGGTGTCAAAAGGAGGAATAGTACCCCATTGCTGGTTTCAGTGGGAGGAATAGTGTTCCATCATTGGTGTCAATGGGAGGAATAGAACCCCATTGCTGGTGTCAGTGGGAGGAATAGTGCTCCATCATTGGTGTCAATGGGAGGAATAGAATCCCATTGCTGGTGTCAGTGGGAGGAATAGTGCCCCATCATTGGTGTCAGTGGGAAGAATAGTGCCCCATTATTAGTGTCAGTGGGAAGAATTATGCTCCATTGTTGGTGTCAATGAGATGAATGATACCCCATTGCTGGTGTCAATGGGTGGAATAGTGCCCTATCATTGACGTCAATGGGAGGAATAGTACCCCATTGCTGGTGTCAGTGGGAGGAATAGTACCCGATCAGTGGTGTCAGTGGGAGGAATAGTGCCCGATCAGTGGTGTCAGTGGGAGGAATAGTGCCCGATCAGTGGTGTCAGTGGGAGGAATTATGCCCCATTGTTGGTATCAATGGGAGGAATAGTGCCCCATCATTGGTATCAGTGGGAGGAATAGTGTCTCATCATTGGTATCAGTGGGAGGAATAGTGCCCCATCATTGGTGTCAGTGGGAAGAATAGCACCCATCTTTGGTGGCAGTGGGAGGAATTATGCCCAATTGTGAGTGTCTGCGGGAGGAATAGTTCCCCATTTTTGGTGCCAGTGGATGTAATAGTGAAGGAATAAAGCCCCAACATTGCTGTCAGTGGCAGTAATTATGCCCCATTGTTGGTGTCAGTAGGAGAAATAGTTCCTTTTATTGTTAGTGTAAGTGGCAGTAATTATGGCCAATTGTTGGTGTCAGTGAGAGGAATAGTTTCTTGTATAAATGGGAAGAATAGCTCTTCGTATAACTGGGAGGAATAGTGCCCCAAGGGCCAGATAAAGGTAGGCAAAGGGCCAAATCCATTATACTGTAAACAAAAAAAAGAACAGATTTCCACTTCACTACAAATTATCCAGTTAAGATACTTACCTCCTGTTGTGTGAATCTTTTCTCTGGCCAACATTTTGAAGCCCTGATGAAGGGCTGCAGAGCCCCTGAAAGATGTTGGATTTTAAGCGAATGTTATTTATAGAGAATAGTACAGAGTTTTCTTTGAAGCTTTTAATTAAAAATCTGAAACAAAAACAAACCAGCTAAGCCAATGGATAGAATAAATGTCTGCTCCCCACAAATTGTCTACTTGAGATACTTACCTCTTGTTGTCTAGATCTTTCTCTGTCCAACATTGTGAAGCACTGAAAAATGTTGGCTTTTTAAGAGGATACTGCTGATGAAGACTAGTAAACTTCTTATGATCAGTTTTGGTTTGACCATACTTTTTATTGTATGAACCACCACATTTTTTGACCCTGAGTTTAGTTTATTGTAAAGTACAGAATTATAATTGACACTTATACTTGACCCTAAAAAAAAAACAACTAGACTAGCGAATAGAACAGATTTATGCTACACCCCAAATTGTCTACCTGGGATACTTACCTCCTGTTGTCCGGATCTTTTTCTCTCCAACATTCTAAAGCC